AGCAAAGATGGTCCTGAGGTCTGGTTAAGAGGGATACTAAAAGCCCCAATTCCTGCTCCATGAGCACCTCTCTGTTCTTGACAATTGTTGCCTTTAGGGTCATTAATGCTGAGATCCCTGGATGCGACAGACAGCAGAGCCAGAGACTTTGAGCTGTGTCCCACTCCACCTGCCCAGGGGAGCATCCATTTTCCTGGATCTCTGCAATGTACAGATCTCTCACCACAAAGTGTTCTTTTTTTTTTGTAGCACCATGAAGAGTCTCATGGTGGCCCGTGGGGAATCCGAGGCCATGCATAACTGGGTGGTGGTGATGAGAGCGGGTTTCATTTCTATCAGGATTCCATCCTTGTCAGTGGCCCTCAACCTTTGCATGTGTCTCTTCCTTCTCCTTTTCCCTCTTCCATTGCTGCAGTAAAGCTGGGTGCTATGGGCACAAGTTGTGAGCATGGTTGCTCCCCATGCCCTGGGGATCATTCAGGAATGGCTGGCCAGACTTTACCTGGGCTTTCTGCGGAGATCATCTCAGCGTTGGTGAGGCAGCACCTCGAATACTGTGTTCAGCTTTGGGCCCCTGGCTACAAGAAAGATCTGGAGGCACTGGAGCATGTCCAAAGAAGGGCAACGAAGCTGGTGAAGGGGCTGGAGCACAGAGCTTATGAGGAGCGGCTGAGGGAGCTGGGGTTATTTAGTCTGGAGAAGAGGAGGCTCAGGGGAGCCCTTAAAACTACCTGGAAGGAGGTTATAGTGAGGCGAGGATCAATCTCTTCTCCAGAATACCTATGGATAGGACAAGAAGAAATGGCCTCAAGCTGCACCAGGGGAAATTCAGCTTAGAGACTAGGAAAAAAATCTACACAGAAAGAGTAGTGAAGCATTGAAAGAGGCTGCCCATGGAAGTAGTGGAGTCACCTTCCCTGGCAGTGTCCAAGAAACGTGTAGATGAGGCGCTTAGGGACATGGTTTAACAGGCATGATGGTGGTGGGTTTACGGTTGAACTTGATGATCTTGAAGGTCTTTTCCAACTATAATGATTTTATGATGCTATGAAAACTGGGCGTGGGCACCTGCTTCTCATCCAGGGATGTCCAGGAATGGAGAGGGGAGCTGCACAGCTGTTCCCCTGCCGGATGCAGCTCGGGGGCCGCACATCACGTGCAGAAGGCAGCAAGCAGCAGTCGTTGCAAACATCCCTGTGCCCCTTGCAGGGTTTGTGTCCCAGTGTGGACTGGCTGCTGCTCGCGGAGGACACTGGCTGCACTGTCTCCAGGTGTGCCCACCTGGAGCCCAGCCCAGCATTTCAGCACAGCTTGCTCCATGCCAGGACACACCTGGAGCATCATCTGCACTGGATATCTACCGAGATATAGTCATCTGGCTCAAGTTCAAGATTATACTTCTTTTGGCTACAGGCTGTGGTTCATCTTGCATGGATATCTTATGCCTGTCACCTAACCCTTTCTGCTCTAGGGTGGCCAAGCCCTCCTAACTTTTCACTCTGCTTGACACAATTGTAATTATTCTTTCCCCTCCAGGAAAATGGTTTGTGGGCTTATACAGCCCTGCACACTCACTGCCATGCACAGACTGGATCAGAGCTGCCCTGGCTTTGCACGTGGGAAAATGCACCCCATTCCTGCAGCTGTTTTTCCCTGCTCAGAAGTACAGCCACGTCCATCCTCCTCTGCTGCTTCCCTGCTTTCGTAGAGCACCTTCTTTGCCCTGTTTGCTCACGCAAGCCTGTGTTCACACAGAGAGCTGGGCAGTGCCCATGCCTGGAACTCCTTCCCGCAAGGTGCCCTGTCCCCTCTGCCTTCCACTCTGCATTTGCAGCCACAACTCGGTGCCTCCTCACCAAGTCTTGCCCCTAGGGACTTGCTTTTCCTGGAGGAGGTTTCCAGTGGCAGTAAAGGACATGAGAGTCGGCCAGGACTCCCAGGAATGTTCCTGGGACATCTTGGCTCCAGGGAGCTGTCCGCAGCCCATCACCTCTCCCTGCAGGAGATCTCCCTGGGGTGATGCATGCGCCAAGTTTCATAGCAGCACCACTGTCATCAACCTCTCCAGTAAGGGAGCCCCACTAAATATGTTATATTCTGTAAAAGTGATGTTTAGAAATAAAGCTGTGTGCAAATGCCCATGTTGGGGGCAGATGTGCATTGGTGTTTGCACTCTGATTTGTGCTCCTGGCAGGTATTTGTGTCCATGCATGCGACAAGCATTGAAGCAGAAAACCTACTTTTAGGATAAAGTGCCTACAGGGCACATTCATGGCCACATTTTTAACCCATCATAGCCCCAGGCCCATTCAGCATTTACATTTGCAGCAGCGAAGAAACCAGGCTTTCCTTCACATTCTGGCTCGCTCCTGCCATCTGTCTCTGCTGTTCACAGCTGCAGACATATTTGGTTAGGCCCCATTTCTAGGGGTTTTCTGCAATCATTTTGCAATCCTGATACACCAAGACCAGCCCAAGAGCTCGTCCTGTTATGAGAAACCCCAGAAGAGAATGCACCCAAGGACATGTTTTTGCTGTTGTCGCTGGAAAATACAGACAAAACAGCAGATGTTCCTGGGACATCATGAGAGAATATGGACAAAAACAGCAAAGACCAGTTGAAGATGAAGATAAGGACCACCGTATCTTCACAGAACTGTCTGGAACTGGGCAGTAGGACCAAAACAGGGCCTCTGAGCCAGAATGGGGCCATGTATGGAAGTGAGTTCCGGGTCGTCATCGAGTGGACACGGTGAGGCGACCACCAGGGGGTCTCAAAAGACCACCAAAGGGACAGAAGGCGCATGCACGTGAGGGTGGGGTATATTATAATTAGCTCTGGGAAATAGAATGAATATGTATGATCATTCCAAGAATTTAATGCATATGTAGACAATTTAGAAATAAAAAATTTAGCAAACACACCTTAGGGTGTGCACAATAGGTGGAGCTATCCCCCATGCACCCAGCGCTGCAATAAAGCAAATGCCTGCTTCTTAATACTACATTGGTGTTAAGAGGGTTTTTTTTCTCCCGGTTTTCGGTGACAGGCCGACACAAGCAAGAGTCGACCTTGCAGCGCCTGGACATGGCTTGCTGTCAGCAGACCCCAGGGCGAGCTGCTTCCAGCCCTCCCACGACAGCCCTGGCTGACTCCCAGTGTGCAGATAGCAATTCCCAAGCTCCCAGCACAGCCCAGGGCAGAGCACAATCTTGTTAATAATTGCTTTAATGCTGCTTTCTGGAAGGAAGTGCACTGAGCCCAAGTGGCGCTTAGTCAGGGTGGCTCAGCGTCAGGAGGAGAGACTTGGCCACATGCAAAAGATGCTGCAAAAGAACATGCCGAGGGGCTTCTGCCCCTGCCCACTCCCAGCCCCTGGGCCACCCTTCCTGCCCTGTGCAGGCGCATCACCACAGGGAGGTTGGTTAAGAATATGTTTTTATTGCCTTACATCTTGTTTCAAAACCAGCCTGACAGGCAGACGTGTGCTCCCGCGTGGAGCAGAGCGCAGCGCAGAGCAAGCTCAGCACCTGTCCTTTCCTCAGGGCCAGTATCTCAGACTTCATAGTTTCTTTATACAGTCTTTAAAGAACACCTAAATGCCCAGAAATCAAGTAATCAATCCAGATAAACACACTGGATAGAAACACCCAGCTAGAAGCTTTCACCAGCCCTAGCTGATATTGTTAAGCCCTGCAAATCCTATTATTGCAGCTATACAACTTAATAGACCTTAATTGACTAAAGTACACCACTGAAGTCTCTGCAAGCAAATAGCACTGCAGCTGCATTTAGGACCCTTCAAATGGTTCCTTCTCTGCATAAAGGAGCAGGTTTTGCAAATGCAGGTAGGTGCTAGGACCCCATCAGTTCTGTCCCCTTACCCCCTGTGGACTCATTCCAAGGTGTCCCTGGGTTAATGACTTCTCATTTTACTAAAGATTTGGGTTAGGGTCTCTCTCAAAACAACCGAGGTGTCCTTGCGATGAATTTTGCAGGGTGCTCTATTTCCCCACCCGCACTGCTTCATGCACACAGTTTCCACATGCAGCCTTTCTGGATTAGGGAGGAAAGTATAAAACTACCTTTTCTGCTTTCTGAAAGCAAAACTTAAGATCAAAATTCTGACAAAGAAAAAGCAAGGAGGAATAAGGGGGTAAACTTCCATCCAGGCAGACGTTTGCTTTCATTAATTAAATTTTATACTAAAAAAAAAAAAAAAAGAAGAGAAAGCATTTAATAAATGAAAAGGGCGTGCAGACCAACCCTGACTATCTTTCTCCAAATTGCATTGCAACCATGTCCCTTAAAGCTGAAGGAAAACCCCAGAGCAGCCCAGAAACGCAGCTGCACTATTACCCCGCTGTCCCCAAGCTTTTGTCCTCTCCACCGCTGCCCGAAGGGGACACGGAGCCGGCCAGTGCCCGCAGCCCGGCAAGCGGGAAAGGAGCAAATGGGGCAGAGGGAAATGAGATGCATGGTTTATTCGGTAGAAAAATAGGAGTAACCTTCTAGGAAAGCTAGCCTACGGTATAAAAAGTACTCAGTAAAAAATACAAGGAGCCGAAAGTAGAGCCCTTTGGGGAGAATGCATGCAAGCACAGTCTTTAAATATAAATATGAGTGTACAAATCCCACCCCCTCCCCAGCAGTCCAAGGAAAAGCTGCCATGGTGTCGGATGCCTCCCCGCAATGGGGCTCAACTCCTGGAGCCCCACGGCCAGGGGTGTCCCAGGGCCGGCTCTCATGCCCTGCGGGGAGCGATGCTCTCAGGGTGTCCATGTCCAGGTGGTGGTCGGAGAGGAAGGCGTCCATCCTAGCAGGGGGAAGATGGGGACACTTCAGAGGGAGCCGTGTCCCAATGGCTCCCATGCTCCGAACAATGCTCTGGGCCCTTTCCCGGGTGGACCAGGTGCCTCCCTCCCTCCCATGAGGACCACGGGCATGGGGGCAGCATCCTCATGCCCCTGCTCATCCCACCCACCTCTGTGGGGCCGACCTAGGGTTGCTGCCCCTTCTTCCGCAAGGCTTTTCTGCATGGCGCCGCGGGCTGCGCGTTCTTCTTGTCCAACTTCTTCATCACCTTCTGGGCGGCAGGGTTGGCCGGGGAGGCGCAGAGCTTCTTGCCTTTCCTTGTGGTGAACCTGGCCGGGGAAGAGGAGAGGTTTGCAGCACAGCCGCTCTGGAGGCTGCAGATCGGGAGCACGGAACGTCTCCGAAGGGGATCCCAGCTGGCCGGGGTACTCACACGACAGCATGCAGCAGGCAGCCCGACTCGGGTCCCTGCATGCTGTAGGACCTCACCAGGCTCAGCGGGATGTTCCTCTGGCTCATCTTCAGGCAGCAGTCAGAGGCTTGGCTGCTGATGCCTGGGGGACAAGGTGGGCTGTTGGAGCTGGCCTGGGACAACTCTCCAGGACCACAGCACAGCCAGGCCAGCAGTGAGGGAACCACAGCAGGGCTTGAGGGAAGCCCCTGTTAGGAGTGACCCCCTTGGCGATGGGGATGAGCATCCATGGGCTCAGAGCTCTGCCATTCGGGAAAAGCAAGTGGTGCCATGGGCCACAGAGTGGCTGGGGAGATGCTGGGATGATGGTAGCCCTCAGCCCCTACTCCCTGTTGCGGGATGGACACAGCCCCAGGGAGATGTGACACCAATTTTATCCCTGCTCTGCTGGCAGAGAAACCGAGACAGAGACGAGCTGCTTGCAAAGGGGCTGAAAATGATTCTTCTATCCCCACTGCTCTGCTCCGGGTGCCCCTGCCACCCACTGCCACCCACTGCCACCACTGCCCTCCCAGCCACAACCGCTGCTTCTCCCCAGCCTGATTTAAGCAGGAGGGTCCTTGGGGAAGAGCTAATCTGGTACAGCTGCCAGCTGGCCACGCACACATGGCCCTGACCATGGAAGCGCTGCGAGCGTAATGCGCCAGCTTCATCCACGTGCATGGACACACGGAC